TGAAAATTTCAATATCCTAGGGTAAGCGAAGGGCAAGATAATGTGCAGTTTCAAACTCCTAATGGGTTTCAAACTCCTGAACAAACATAGTATATCTTTGTGTCGCATTCTACTACCCTCCTCATGACCATGCAGCTGGTCCTCTCAATCATTGTTCTACTCAGTTGGGGGTTTTTGGGTACAACTGAGTTGACCTCACAATCTGCCTATATTCTTCATGAGAATGATCCCACACTGCTTTGGGATGAAATCTGCTTCACCGATGCCAAGCTTCTTCCATTGTCCCGCTGTGGTTTGGTTGGGATTTGGGCTCAAACAATCAAACATAGACAAGTTAGAAGACCTGTTCAAGGATGATATCTCTCATCCTGACTATGGGAAGAATTGGCTGCCAGCTCAAGTCGCCCAGACCTTCCCTTCAAGGTGAGAAAAAAAAACTCAGGGTTGAAATTTTGTGTGGATGGCTGGATGGTGCTGAATTTTGTCTTGACAGGGTGAAGCTCGTGCTATCGCAGAACAGTGTCACTTACTGATAATGATTGTAGAGTGCATTCAAAACTCAAGTACAGCTACATATGAAAAATAGGTCCATGTTGTGTCTATAAGTTCAAGGTCTGAAAGCAATCCACCATTAGACATGCAATGGGCCCAGGTTTCAACATCAGCTGTCCCCTGTGAACCACCTGGCCATCCTTGTGAACCACCCAGCCATCCTTGTGAACCACCCTGCCCTCTGGAACCTGACACAGGGGAGAACTGGCTATTTAGCCAATGGGCACATGAGTAAGCATATGTTGATTGGAGGCATTAATGCTCTCCCATATTCTTCCCATATGCCTACCATGCACATTTGAAATTTAATTGAAGTAAGCTCCAAAATAGAAATATTATGGGATTCCTAGTTACAGGAAAAATATGCCCATAAAAATGGGCTATCATATGTGGCTGATTTGTTCATTTAAAATATGACCACAATGTGCCCAATAGGTACATTATGGTCACATGCTTGTAGGCTCGTGACCAGCCGTTACCTTTCGAACTCCGATGTTCATCTCAAGGTAACGGCTGGGAGCAACGAAGCACTTTTAGTAAGGTCACGCTTTTCA